AAATAAAAGTGATTAGCCCTTACAAAATGTGAGAAGGGATTGAATATAAGACCTATATAAGCTACCAATGACCACAGTTAACCACTGAACCACGCCTAAGAGTTAAGTATGAGGAACATTTGCATTCTTGATATAATTACTCAAATATATACCCACTTAAATTATAACATAAATGATATTGACACCCCAATATCTATTATTAGCAAACAAAAAAAAAAACTATTAATTTCATAAAGGAAATATGCCCTATAAATCACATGCAACCCAAATAGAGCAAGACCCAAGAAAGCACCAGCCTTGCAGGCAGGCATAGAAATGGGTAATATGTAATGTTAATTGTTTCCTCATATGGTAACTTGCCAATCCAGCACTCTCACCAAAATGGGAGTGAAATGTAATTTCACGAAAATATTTGGGCTCAATTACAAATTATAAAATAAAATTTGAATTCTGATTTGAACACTCCTATTTTCCTATTGACCAAACCAATATAAGGGCAATTATTCGAATCTCTTTCAATAGATTTTTTTTTAATTTTTTTTTATTATCCACTATTAAAGGTGCATTTTTCTATAATAAATTTCACTTAAAAGATAATATTTTTAAAAAAATAAAAATATATATATTTTAGAAGAGTGCTGGTGCAATTTATTGGAAGTAGTGGGGGTGCCCGTATTAAATGTCTGAGTATAATTATTAAACTTGTAGTGCGGTAGGTGGGTCCGACTCAAAAGAGATAAAGTGAGAAAAAAGGGTGAGATATTTAAAGGTCCCAATTACACACCTTATTAGAGCACGTGTATCACACGTTTATTTTTGAAATTTTAATTTTAACTCAACATTATATAAGTATTCCTATAGAGGGAAAGGGTACCATAGGAAAAGATTATGGTAACGTCAATAGTACGGTATCAAAATTTCGGTCTTTATTACTTGTTAATTATACAATACAAAAAAACTATTAATTAAAATATTTTCCAATAAATTAGGTCATGTATTAAACGAGTAATTAGGAGTTAAGCGAGTAGTGGTGTAGTAAACGAATAATCAGGTAATAAACAGATTATGATATGCCACCCGAATGAGATTCATTTATTACACAGGTTAGGTAGGATTATCTAGGGGTGTTAATCATGTCGGATTAAACGGGTGACTGGTGAAAAATATACAAACTCATACACGACACGTTTAATAAATGAGTAAAAAATTTTAACACAAACACGAATCATTTAATAAACGGGTAACACAAAACAACTCGTTTAACCTATTTAAAAATAAAAAATAATAAAATAAAATAAAAATATTATTTTAATAAATTTTTACACTCTATTTTTTTTTTTTGGCTTCCAAGTGTACTTTTCTCAAGTTGAAGAGTTCTAGCTAAAGCCAACAACAGTCAACCATAGCCAACCATAGCCAATAGTCATAAGCCACAACTGGTCAGTTGAGAGCAAGTGACCCACTACCCTTTCTATGGACAACCAAACCTCCATCTCTCTACTATTTTTGGCTATGTGGGATTCAAAGAAAAATCAATTCAATGCCCCAAATTAATTTCTTTACTTTTTTTTTTAAATGATTATTTTACTTTTTTTTCTTTACTCATTCATTATTTTATATGTATATAAAATAATTATTAATTTATTATTATATTAAATTTATTTAAACGGGTAAACGAGTGATAAATAGATTGACATGTCTTACTCAAACACGACCCGTTTATTAAACGTGTTTAACGGGTTAACCCGTTTATCACTCAAATTCGTTAAGGTATCACTAAAATCCGTTTAATTTATATTGATTCATGTCAATTAATCGTATCGTATTAAATGTTGACAGACTTATGATCATCTATTTACTATTCAAACCAGCTAAAATTAAAACTAAACCCGTTAATTCCGTATCGTATAATTGGGGCTCGTTAAATTTTGGGAGACTTATCCCATGCTCAGGGGCCATGAATGCGCGTGGGATAAGTAAACTGACTAGAATAGATAAAAGTTAATAGGCATGAGTCATGGCCAATTGGACCTGGAGTCGGAACCCGTTTTGTCCGGCTGACAACTGCCAGGGGGATCGTACCCCAGACTATAGGGGGTAGGGTAGGGGGAGGCTAGGCCTCTGTTTGGGCACTTTGTAATTGATTGCTATGGTAAAGACTTGCCTACGTGATACATTTGTCGCCACATTTCCGTAAATTTACATATTTACCCTTTTTTTGGGAGCTCTAATTAGTAATTACCCTTTTTATTGGAAGATTGAAGAAATAATAATGGATTATTAAAAATGTTGTTGATTTTTTCCTGAACTTGACCCTTTTTTTGGTTTAGGAAAAATGTTGATGATTTTTTGTTTCCCTAAACTTGATTTTTTTTTCATAAACTTGATTCTCTTTTTTTGGTAACTCCAATTGTCCCAAATAGTAATAGAGACGAACTGTTAATTCATATGTCTTGAATTTAAATCTTAACAATTTTTTAGGGTCAGACTATGAAATATTCTTCATGAATATTTTAGTCCCGATATGAATGATCTATCTCTAACAAGGCCGAAGAGGAGGTTAATGGAGGTATTTATAAGTTAACCTGAATATTCCTGACTATTGAACCAAAAAATTGATTAATTGTGTCAAATGATTTGATATTTTTTGTTTTAACATGTTTGAATTAATACCCAATTACTTATTAATCAAAAATTTCAATTCCTCTTAACCAAACCAACTACTCATAGGCCTTCTAAGAATTAAAAGTTGATTATGTACAAAATAGAAAAATAATGTATGGCACTTACTTTCCTTTCCAAAATAATATAATAAAATGATTACCACCCAAAGTTTTCATCACACTATATCGACTAAATGACTTTACTATTTTAAAATTGAGTTATTATTGTCCAACACTAATTTGATTTTTTTTTTTTTGTCTTACTAAATCATGCCAATTTTTGTTCACGTTGTTTATACCCGACCTTGACGCACTAATTTCGCATTTTTTCAAGATTAAAACCCCATGAATGAAAAAAATATTGCACATACATCTAAAAATTGAAATTTTCAAGAGTTTCTAAAATCCAAGAAAATAATTTACGAGCAAATTATTGAAAGAGTGTCTAAGTATGATTTTTTTTCCCCAAACCATGGTAGTTGTTGACATTTTATGATGTTATGATATAACAATTATAAGTCAATTAGGTTGCTAAATATACTGGTTGATTGAGAAAAGCGAGTTTCTACAAGATTATTCATATGAAAGATGACATTGAATTTTATTCAAACTTCTAATAAATTTTCTTCTATATTTCTTTAAAAAGTGTGCTGGATCTATTATAAGATATTACCAAAAAACTTGTTGCATAAAATGAATAAGAAATAAAAAAATCTCAATGTGACCCACACCTTGCTATTTGATGTAGACCGCACCTAGGTGGGTAGAGAGCAAGCAAAATATATTTGAAATGAAAATGAGGTATGGTCCAACTCCTAGGAGTACAATCTAGAGACTTGAAGTGAAAATAGATAGGCAACGAGAGTAACTCAAATTGGATGGCCCAATAATTATTCCATAGAGATTATCGGTTCGAATTTTTCAAACGAGTTTATAATTGAATCATTTTTTGATTTGCGCGTTTCATTTTTGCGCATAGACCATACTAATCTTCTTTGTATCGTTTCAATTTTATTGGATGTCCCGAAGGACCCAATTTATAGTTGATTTGATTATTGTAATTTATAAGTAACCCTTTTTTTATTTTTTAAACTTATATGGTAATTAAGTTACTTTTGGTAATATACTTTCCAAGTAAATATTTAGCCAAAAAAATCAATTTCTAAAATAGTAAAAATATATTTGATAAATTGGTTTACAGGTATCCTAATATCCCAAATAATATAATTGGATATTTGCATATGTATAATAAAGGAAAAATTACAAAAAAAAAAAAAATTTACTTAAAAAAGCAAAAAGAAAAGAATATAACATTTTAAAAAGCGGCAAGGCAATAAATTAAGGGATATGACTATGATGATACCCCCCAAAAAAACTTCAATAAACAAAGTTGATTTATATCTATAAAATTTGGATTTGAACATTTTTAATTATTAAATATAAAAATAATAATATAATTTAAAATAAAAAGACTATATGCTTATCGTTTCGTTTGAATGAAAACTAAAGGTATAATTTTAAAAAATTATTTATTGGTATTATAATTAGAGGTTAATTTAAGAATAAATGCAAATTATTTGACAAATATCTATTATATAAAATAGATGAGATTTCAATAAACTCATTCGATGATTTCAAACAGATACATCTAATGACCACTAACATCCTTCTTAAAATCATTCACATTGAATTCTTATTTGCTAAATTTATCACTTATCAATTATGTTGTACGTGCCTTTAAATACGAGTTAGCCTTAGTCTTTCTAATATTATTGATAACAATTTGAATTGAACAATTATAAAAATACAGCAATAATTGATATTAATTCCATATAACCATACAAAATTCATCCCAAAAAAATTTCTCAACCCAAAAACATTCTCTGTGCATGGCTTTTAAGAACCGCGCCTCAATATTAAACAATCTACTAATTTATATCTGTCTTTTTCTTCTCTCGCTTTTACTTCTATCTTATTTTATCAATTTATCCCATTTAATTTTAAATTGTATAAATAAATAAAAATAATTTAATATTAAAATACTAATATTATAAGATCAAACATAGTGCCTTTAAATTTAGATTATTGTTAGTGATTAAATAAAAAGGAATGAAATATTATTTTTTTGAGTTTGTGTCAAGTAGTTTAAAAAAAAAAAGAAAAACTGTTTTAATTAAATAAAAAGGGACATGAGAGAGATTTGTTGAATGAGAAGGGGACAGAATAGACATCCGCCCGCAAATACAGGGAGTCGTACCGCTCCAAACTGGTCTTTTTCCCGGACCATTTTTTATATTCGCTCTCCCCTTCAACCAACCACCAAACCTCTCTCTCTCTCTCTCTCTCTCTCTCTCTCTCTCATCACTGATCTATACATACACACAGTTTATAGCTATAGTTTAATCAACACACTCTCTCTCTCTCTCTCTCTCTCTCTCTCTCTCTCTCTGCCACACATCAAAGCATCAGCAGCTGTTTCCTCCACCCAGCAGTGGCAGCGCTGCTCTTGCAGCTGCTGCCTACTGCAACTTTTGCAGGTTAAGAGCCACTACATCTCCTACAACGTAATTCCAAACATTTATACATACAATTATTTTATTCATACTTGTACTATATACATAAATACAAATCATTCAACTCCGATGTGATTATCCAAAAACGCTTTTCATTTCTGTAGAGAGAGAAAATAGTTGGAGAGAGAGTTTTCAGTCGTCTTCTATATAAATCAAAGCTCATTGTTTTTTCACTTTGCTTTGATTGTTGTGTTGTTTAGGGCTTTTGTGATGATGTGTGGGCTAATTGATCTTAACACTGTGAACGACGACGATGCAGTGTCGCCGTTCGAATCGCCGTCGTCGAGCTCTGGTTCTGGCTTGCCGGCTAATTTTTGTTCGGTTTCAGCTATGGCTACGGCTAATTCTTCGTCGTCGTTTTCGTCGGTGTGTTTGGAGCTGTGGCACGCTTGTGCTGGATCAGTGATATCGTTGCCGAAGAAAGGGAGTGCGGTGGTGTATTTGCCACAGGGTCACTTGGAACACCTCTCTGATTTTCCTGCCACTGTTCGTGATCTTCCGCCTCATGTCTTCTGCCGCGTTGTAGATGTTAAGCTTCATGTAAGTGTATTAGGAACAGAGAACCTTTTCTTATAGGAGTACAAAGTTATTTAAAGATTGATTATTTTGCGTGGATTATTTATTTAATTTTCTTGTGAATTTTTGTAGTCTAGGGTTCTAATTTTATGTATTTGGGTGTTAACTGGTTTCACCGTTTTTAGGATTGTTTGTTTGCTGGGAATTTAATGTGGAATGTGTGTGTATTGGTTAGGCGGAGGCAGCTACTGATGAAGTATATGCACAAGTATCTCTGGTGCCAGACAATCAGGTATAAATCACTGTGTATGTGTGTTCTCTACCTCCTATTTGACGTATATTGCTTATATTTCCTCTTCTTTTTTTTCCTTGGAAACTTATAATTCCTCTGTTTCCACAGGAAGAATTGATGAATTTGGTTGCCTTTAAGCCTGTACTTGTGATGTATATTTTGGCTTTTTGTAATGCTGTAATTATTGGAGCGAAATTGTGGTGGAATTAATTAATATTTATATGAACAGATTGAGCAGAAATGGAAGGAAGGAGTAATGGAAGCAGCTGTAGATGAAGAGGACGTTGAAGGTGCTGGAAAGGCTACGACACCACACATGTTCTGCAAGACTCTCACTGCTTCTGATACTAGCACTCATGGGGGTTTCTCTGTCCCCCGCCGAGCCGCTGAGGACTGTTTTCCCCCACTGGTAATATTTGTCTAAGTCAATTGTCATAATTTTTTACTTGAACTAAACCAAATCCGAATTCTAGCTTTATATATGTACCCGCACGGTAGTCGTCTATTTTCTCTCGCTGTCAGTCAATTTGCTATTGTATAGAATCGTTAGTTTCGCTTGTTTTGTACTGCAGGATTATAAACAACTGAGACCTTCCCAAGAGCTTGTAGCAAAAGATTTGCATGGGATTGAATGGAGGTTCCGGCATATTTACCGGGGTATGTGATCGATTGGCAGTTTGTTGTTGTATCTTTTTATGTGGGATATTAACTGCATTGAGCAAATGATGAGGTGGTGGGATTTTATTTATGGTGTTTCAAACTTTTGCTGGAGCAGGCCAACCTCGGAGGCATTTGCTCACTACTGGTTGGAGTGCTTTTGTTAATAAAAAGAAGCTGGTCTCCGGAGATGCTGTGCTGTTCCTTAGGTATGTAAAGATTGAAATAAAAGTAAATTTAACTGCAGACCTTTGTTCTCAAATTTTAGCCTTAATGCAGGGGTGGCGATGGAGAATTGAGATTGGGAATCCGAAGGGCAGCACATGTTAAGAGTAGTGCTACTGTTCCAGCTCTCTGTAGCCAGTGGTTGCACGGCAGCACCATTACTTCTGTGGTGAATGCTATATCCACGAGAAGCATTTTCAGCATTTGCTACAATCCAAGGTATTTGAACTCATGTTTTAGTGGTGATCTATGGATGATTAGGACAGTTTTGTATAATCATACATAAGTTCCTTAAAATGGTTTTGTTCTCAACAAATAATCAGATGAAAACTCTATTTGTTGAATCTTACGAGCTGGGTGGGCTAAGTGCATGTTATTAACGTGTCACCCTTCTTGTGCCTTGGTAATTGGAGTATTTGAGATTTGCAATGTAGGCTGAAGAGTTGCAGAAGTGGTTTGGCATCTTTAAATTTACCAGTGTGACTAAGCAAAGATGTTTCCAGCCAGTCAGACAACATTCGGATGATAAGCTGTAGACGAGAGTTCAAAAAGTACAATTACAAATCATTTTTTAAAGGAACTAGGAATTTTTGAATTTTGATCCATTTGAGACTTTTCAGTTGCTACTTTAATTTGTTCAAACTTACTAACTGCTGATATGGAATTTCTTTAGGTGGTACTAGCACACCTTTTCTTAAAGAAGAATTTCCCTTTCCACAGTTTAGTGTAGCACAATGTGTCTCTCTTGTTAATTCTTGAAGCAGTGTTGCTTGTGGAAGTACACCTATCTCCGCATGACCAAATTTTTGAGAAAAAAAAGTCCTGATTTTGTTACTCTTGATGCAAGAATCTTCAGACTCTAAAGATTCTACTTGCCGCCTCATTTACAATTTTTAATGGGAGGCCTACTGTGATATGAGAAATTGCAAATACTCTTGTTAGCTGTGGCAGGAGGAAAGGTTGCCATATTTTCTACTGGTTTGCATGTGATAGTGTACAGCATATTTAACGACTTTCCTTGGTCTTTGTTCTCAATTTTGATACACATGCCTCTAAACCCAAGTGTGTTTGCAGGGCTAGCACATCAGAGTTCATAGTGCCTTTTTACAAATTTTCGAAGAGCCTGCAACATTCTTTTTCTGCCGGGATGAGATTCAAGATGCATTTTGAAGCTGAAGATGCAGCAGAGAGAAGGTTGGTTAAACCTTGATTACCACACCTTAAAAGCATGAATAATCAAAGATCTGATGTGGGTGAATTTTTATGGGGGCAGGCACACTGGACTTATCACTGGTATCAATGATATGGATCCTGTTGGATGGCCTGGTTCAAAGTGGCGGTGCCTATTGGTATGCCTGCTATTTTAGCTTGTTTTGTACCCTTTTTTCTTAGGTCTTTATCTCATTTAATTTTTATGCAAACACATGCACTCATGTTTTAGATTGAGAAAGCACACTTGCCTGTATCGTAGTTTGGAATGCATGAAAAGGACTATGCTTTGAAACTCATCCTTAACCTTCATGCTTCTGAATATATGGTATGCCCCTGAAATTTGTCTTGATTTTATGTCTTAAAAGGTTGATTTCTTTGACAAACTTTTTACTGGACAACATCAATTAAGTTGCTATTATGGGTTTGTACTTTTACTTTCAATTTTGTAGATTTAAAGATCCCATAACTGTGTAAACCGTCAATCTGCATTCCAAAAAGTTGGGCAAAGAGTAGTACTTAAAGCGCATCAATGTCTCGGTGCTTCAAATTGTCTCTACCAGAAAACACGAAATCAACTTTACAATATTCTCCCACATGAATTGGGAAACTTCCAAAGATATTTGATAAGGTTATTTGAAAATTGATCACATGACATACTTAAAACCTTGAACTTGGGGCTTATGCTTCTTTACTACGCCGTAATATTTCTGCTGTAGGCAGTATTGTTAGAGTTTATTTGTATATAGATTGTCTATGAATGTATTGAGTTAAATGTGTTCTGTTCTAAGTGATATAAACAGTTTTATGTCTATGTGACATTAAGTCCTCTCTCTGTGGGATGACTGTAATGTCCAAACTTATATGGAAAATTTGTTGGTCAATGTTGATATAACTTGAGTTGTATCCTCCTTGGCACCTTCTGATCCACTATCATTTTATGTTCCGTTTACATAACAAGTTTCACGCAACTTGACCGAATTTCCTGAGATGCCTCCGAGTCAAACCCAAGTCGTCCAAGTCATTGTTACTGAATGGGTCATCACGTAATGGCTTGAATTTCTCATGATGTTCTACTTCTCCTGCATAGCATTATTTGCTGATCACCCGACCTTTTTGCGACCTGCGACAATGTCATAGTTCCCTTTGGGTCTATGGCCTAACATTCAGACTGGATGCTTTTACATGTTCTGTATTGTTGCATGTCAAAACCTGTTCTGTTAGATAACTAGAACTCCCATGTATCAATACTCGTTTCTTGATGCCCTTTGTCAATATGTTTTCTAGCATCTTTCTTTGTTACAAGTCTCGTGCCTTTGATAAAGGTTCTAATGATATCAAGTTCTGTTGCTCCTGCAGGTAAGGTGGGATGACATGGAGGTTACCCGACATAATAGAGTTTCTCCTTGGGAGATTGAGCCATCTGGTTCTGTTTCTGGTTCTAGCAGCTCGATTTTACCTGGTACAAAGAGGACGAGGATTAGTTTGCCTACGTCAAAACCTGATTATCCAGTTCCCAGAGGTCATTGTTTTCCTTGTTATCATTTGCCATTATTGTTTTACATGGAAAGAGTATTAACTTAACTTCATACAGATGGGAAAGGAGTGTCAGACTTTGAAGAATCTGTAAGATTGCATAAGGTCTTGCAAGGTCAAGAAATTTTGGGTTTTAGTTCTCGTGATGGTGATGGTGCTGCTGCTGCTCAGAATAATCATCCATCAGTCATGAGGTGCTTTCCTGGATTCAACAGCCCCAGGGTGTCTGCAATGGGAAATGGTGTCAGAAACCTGCTTGGTAATTCTGATACTTCCTATGAAAGCATTGTCTTTGGTGAATCTATTCGATTCAACAAGGTCTTGCAAGGTCAAGAAACATTTACTAACCTGCCTTGTGGAAGACGCTCTGCTGGTAACCAGATGCTGGATAACAGTGGCCCTGGGATCAATGCTTCTGTTCGAGCACCAAGTTCCGGAAGTGGATGGTCAGCTCTCGTGCAGGGTTACCGTGCTCAAGTGTGCCCATCAGCCCCATTAGTTCAAGCTTCGTCGCCTTCTTCTGTGCTTAAGTTTCAGCAAGCAAGCACTCCAGCTCCTAACTTCCATGCGTTGTATAATGTTAATGATCTGGAGAAGCATGAGAGTAGCAACATGACTTCATTGGGTGTTTCTGAAAGATATGGGCAGAGGATCACCTCATTCTCTCCTTGTGAGCGTAGCTCTAGGAGGGGAGATTTGCAAAGCATCACTTCATTTGATCGTCTGAAGGAGGAGAATCACTCGAGTTTTCCCCATCTTCCTCTACAGAGTCAATCATCATTTGGGGGCAATGAGAAGATTACTTCCACGTGTAAAAGTAGCTGCAGACTCTTTGGTTTTTCACTGACTGAGGGAAGTTGTTCTACTCAACTCACTTCTCAATGTGATCCTCAACCTCGAGCCCCTTCTCTGTCTCGAGGTGAGGAGAACATGCACCCAAAGCCCCCATTGGTGGCCAAGGTAGTGGGAGGCAGTTGCACCAAAGTGAGCAACCTTTATGCTGTTAGAGATATGCTTCTTGATATAGCATTGTAGTGTCTTTCTGTTGTGAGACCCAATTTGCAGACTTCCACAAAGGTGTGTTGTATCTGCAATTTATTGCTTCAAATTTGGTGAAATTTAATATTGTGAGCTGTAAGTGGGAGCATTTATTTGTTAGCAAAAGGGCTTTTGATGGTGTAAAAACGATGGGGAATGTTTGCAAGGATCATCAGGATGATTTGGTGCTTGTTGAAGATGTACATGGCTGTAAGTACCAGAGCTCTAAATTTCATTTAACTGGTGCTATGATTAGGATTTCCATGATTATGATTGTTAATAGAAAGTGTATTTCTAAATTTGAGTGACATCAATCAGTTTTGTGGCAGGTTGTTCCAACAAAAAATTGTTATTAAAGGTTGTAAGGTCTCCATAAAATTATCTTTCTGAATATAGTTTCTTCAACTATGTTTTGCAGAGGACCTTCGTCCTTGTTTTTTGCATCAAGATCTTGACTAATGAAGAAAATGTAGTGGCAGCACCTGGTGTTTTGAAACACGTGATCTGAAGTTGCTTGAAAAGTACCTGGTACTATAGATCCCTCCTTCGAAGATATTGTAATTATGTATCTTACAAGACTTTGTTGTGACTCGACTCCACGGCTACGGTTAAAAAAGTGTGAATTATTGGTAGACGTTCCTTTTTGTAGTCTTCATCGTGGAAAGCATGGTGAAAACTTTATGGGATAAGTCCCAACTCGAATATGACATGCTTGCTTTTAGCTGAGATCACTCTGTTGGTTTTGCCTTTTATGATCTAATTTATGGATCTCATGTATTTTTCCCCGCGACCCTGCTGGTCTCTACCAGCCAATCACAGATGTCATGCTGTCTCTTTTTTTCCTACCTACCATCACAGACATTAAAGTTGACTCTCTCATTGCTCGTTTTACTCCTTTCTTTGAAGAGCACACTATATACCAACGATGATGGTGGTGGGTGCTGATGGAGACAGTAGCCATTGTTTTGGAAACTTGGTTGATGGAGGACCAAAGAGGATATAAAATTTTCAAATCTTTTTAGAGGAATACTCTACATTAGCAAATAGGTTCGAAACCTAAGTGGATGGGAAATGGGTATGTGGCTGGTGAGAATCAAATTGAGGTGGGGCCTATGGAGGGGATGTTGTCCAAATTTTGTCTCGAACTTTTGCATGGTGTTTCCCAAAATCATAGCCGGTAAAAAAGGTTGGACACTAAATTGCTCTATTTTGGGGATAAATGAGGTTTTGTAGGGTCCACCCTTAAGGGGTGTTTGATACGGTGGATAAAAAAATAAATAATGAGAGTGATATATTTTATATCCTTTAAGAGATGATTTATTTATTTTCTCTTATGTGTTTGATAGAAGGGGTAGAAAGTAAGAATAATTAATTTTTTTTCCGTTTGGTAGAATAAAAAAACAGAAGAATGAAAAGAAGATAGATATATAATTTACCATTATATCTAATATGAAATTAATATATACATAATATGTAATTTTTATGATAAATCAGTTAAGTTTTTGAACTTATGAGAGTATATCTTATCTCTCAAATTTCTCAACCAACATACACTTTTTCCCCAAAATTTACAACCGCGACACATATAGTTCATAACACATAGCTGTACACACATACACACACTCTCACATTATATACAAATTTTAATATACGCAGTGTCATTATTTAGTGTACAATAACTTTAGTTATAGAGTATCATTAATATATAAATATGACATGTAATTTATAATATAAAATAAAATAGGCTTCAATAAACTTATCTGACGGTTTCAAATAGACTCATCCAATGACCACTAATATTCCTTTCAAAACCATTGACATTGTACTGTGCCTTCAGAGCATATATTAACATAGTATTCATATATTAAGGGATATATAAGTAAATAACATATATTTCAGTATATATAATTAATTTTTTATCCATTTTTTAAAAAATTTTGGAGGAAATGATTTTTGTGAGTTAAAAAAAAAATAATTCATCAAATTTTCTATCCTTCTTATTTTTCTTCTTTACCAAACATAATATTTTATTTATCACTCTAATTTTTTATTTTTCTATTTTTTTATCGACCAAACAAAAACATTAGTAACTACGATTGATTTTTTGCAGACTTTTCTTGGCCACCCCTTGTGCTTTTCAACAAAATTTGAGCTGTGCTCCCAATAACATACAATTGTTTGAAATTAGAAGCAATGAGAACAACTATAGCATTTTCAAAAAGAGAAAGAAATAGTCTACTATTGTAGACGAAGGATTGTTGGGGTCCCATTATTATAGAATTTAATGGTGGCGGTATGTTTTCGTGTTCCGATTGAAGTCAGCAGTGGAACTATTGAGAATGTTGTTCGTGGTATTCGTCTTGATTGAAATTCATGTGGTTTATCTTATAAATATGTTTTCGTTCATAAATCTTTTGGTAAAGAATCATTTTATTATTATCGTTGATCTTTGATTCAACGATATCGGATCAAAATTCGAATTACAGGCTGTATTGCAGCCTTGGTTTTGGTGTTTTAGTTTTGATTGGTTGCTTGATTGAAATGAAAAAGGGTTAATAGTATTTTTTGGCCTTAAAATATCTTTCTTTTGACTGTTTTGTCTCTATTGTAATAATTTTGTCAAATTTGATTTATAAAATTTTAATTTGTGTTATTTTGGTCCCTATTCAAATAATTCGTTAAATTTTGACGAAAATGACTGTGTTATTCTTTCAGACGGTGTTACGTATTCAACACATTATTATTCTGTCAAAAACTTAATGATCTGTTTATGTAAGAATTATTTAAACACAAATTGAATATTTTAGAGACTAAATTGATAAAACGTACATATTTTAAAAACAAAAAATATTATTAATCAAAAAATAAAAGGTCTGAGTCAAAATGTAGATGTATATTAGGTGAAAGAATAAGTTAGTCATTGTTTTCCATTTCCATATCATTAAAACTCAACGAAAATAGAATTGTTAATTGCCTGTAATATTTACATTGGAAAGAAATGTTTACTATCATGAGAGAGAAATAGTATTCTATTGAAAGCTTAACGTGGTATGTTTTAGTGTTTCTATTGAAGGTAACCATGGAACCATTGAGAATGTTGATCTAATGGCCTAAGATTGAAATTATGGCAAGTGGTTTAGCTTATAATAAACCGTCGTTCGTAAATTTCTTTGTAAAGAATTATTTTATTGTTATCATCATTGTATTTGGATCTTTGATGTTCATTTGGATTGTTTTTGCATTTAAGGAAAATTTTAGGCAGACTCTTTCTAGTTTATCATATCTTCAAGGACATGTTCTTTTTTTTTTTAAATCTTCATTGACACCCCCAATTAGATTGAAAGCCTTAATTAAAATATAATTTTACTAAATTGTTTATCATATATTTTAGAAAAAAATTTATCCACACCCCCATCTAGATAGACATATTTTCAATAAGACTCCATATGATTTATGATTTTTTTTACTTATTAAAATTTAGGTCGATTAAATTTTAATCAGCTCACATTGAATTTTAATCAACTCTAATTTTGATATGTAAAAATATATAAATTTTAATCGACTCAAATTTTAAATAAATTTTAATCAATTTGACTTGAATTTTAATAAATAAAAAAAATAAATTTTCATTGACTCGAATTGAATTTTAATTAGTACTAACAACTCAGGTTGAGATTAAATCGGCTCGAATTTTAATACGTAAACAAGGAATATTAATAGACTCGAATTTTAATACGTAAAAAAATAAATTTTAATCAGCTTGAATTTTAATCGAATTTTATGTAAAAATATTGTTTGAGGTTTATATAGGAACAATTTTGATATTTTAAATAATTTTTTTTTGTTAGAAGTGATAGTTTAACGAGAGAGAGTGTCAGTGATATTTAGCTATAAACTAGAAAGGGTGTCAGTGATAATTTTTTGGATAATAAATTGTGTTTTTAAAATATAGTAAATTAAAAGGGGTGTGATTAAAATTTTTCCTTGTATTTATTGTGCAAAAAATATTTTATTAGTAGAATGTTGGAGACGCATTGGCACATGCATTAGGTGTACCTGGTGACATAGAAATACGGTGTTGATATATGATTGTGGCCCGAGGAGGAGCGTGTATTAGAATGAAATGTGTCGAGTAGAACTTAATATACAATCGAGACGAATGAAGGACAAGTGACATGGGGATCAACTAATGGATTTGTTGCAGGTCCCAACATATATTGAAACTAACTATCAATCGAATAATTATGAATAATTACATCAAATCAAATTAGATCAATAAATTAAATTAAAATAGTATTACTTATCTCTTAAATAAATTATCTAGTAATAATATGATCCAATAAAATTCTAATTATTAAACTTTTTTATTAGCATGTGACACATTACTTAGCTGAATGTTTTAAGATTACAAAACGTAAGAGACCAATAAGGAACCACCAATTTTTCTTTGGGGTTCACGTGTAAGCATGTAAACGAGTCATTCTTCGATCGTTGTCACCGCCACGCACTGTAGCATTTTCTGTTGACTAACATCAAAACCCCTAATCCTTTTCTCGTTTTTAGGCCAAATCACTACGGCTTAGCTTATTAGGAACACAACAATCAGGCTCATCCTAGAATTAGCTGGTTTGAGTTTTATCTTAATGAATTTTAGTGATAAATAGTTAATCTGAAAAATAAATTATTGTCACAAATACAAACAACTAATTTTTTCTCCTTTTTACGTCAATTTACTATATCCCATCTTCTATACGAGTGTAAATATTTTATATGTTTGTCAATATCGGTAAAATTAAGAAACCTTAATACTCGCTTGTATTATAAATTAATCTCTTTATGTTTATAGTAAATTATACCAAAACAATATATAATTGATATTCGTTTTTCTGTTCTCTTCTTCCACATGATATCAAAGCCTAGACTTGATAATATTTTTAACTAAGGATAGTATGCTCAGTAGTTACCCTACGAGAGATCCTCTATATCAGAACTCTTGAGGCTCTTCTCCTTTAGGCTATCCTCTGACAACCTCTTCTAGTCAGTCTCTTGCGTTGTTTTGGCCATCCTCTGGTGCCGGAAGTTGGCATCACTTCGACGATCTCCAGCGTCACTTCGGTCGTCCTCCGATGATTTGCCTCGGCCATCTTCCGATGACATTCTAGTTGTCATCCAGCGATGTTCTGACCTGCTTGACTATCCTCCAACCGTCTTATGACGACGTTCCATTCGTTCTACAATGATCCGATCGCCTCCTGATCATCCTTAGCAATCTTCGACAACTTTTTCATCGTTCTCTGACGCGTTCTAACCTGCACTCGCTGTCTTTCGACGACCTTCTAGTTGCCTTTTGGCGACGTTCTGACCTTCCCCGACCATCCACTAGCAATGTTCCGACCTGCTTTAGCCATCCTTCAGCGAGGCTCTGACAAGTTTCGACCATCTTTTGACGAGGTTCTGACTTGTTCCGCCCATCCTTTGGCACGACCTGCTCCGAACATCCTCCGAGCGAGGTTCTGACCTGCTTTAGTCATCCTCTAGTGAGTTTTCGACCTGCTCCGACCATTTTCTAGCAAATGTTCCAGTCTGTTGCAGCCATTTTTCGTGTGATGTTTCGATATGTTTTGTCCATCCTCTGGTGACAAGCCAATCTACCTTGACCTTCTTTGGGTGATATTTCGATCTGTTTCGATCACCCTCCGATGATATGCCAATCTGCCTCGATTTTCTTCTGGTGACATTTTGATCTGCTCATGCCATTCTCTAGCAACTTCTCAACTATCCTCTGATGATCTTCTGATCTTTATTATGACAACCAATAATGATATTACTCACAATGATTTTTTTTATGAGCGCACAAAATGAATTGAGATTAATTGTTATTTTGTGCGTCATCACCTATAAGAGGGCATTCTTCATCTTTTTTTTTTTTTTGGTTGCTTTGGTTGATCAACTGATTGATATCTTTTCACGAAGGCTCATCCACCTGGTTGCCACCATAATTTGGTTTGCAAATTTCAGTTGGCATCTTTGATCCCACCTTGAGCTTGAGGGTAGATGTTAATATTTATATGTTTGTCTGACATTGGTTAAACTATGAAACCTCAACCCTCTTATACTATAAATCAATCTCCTCATATTTATAGTAAAGTATACCAAAGTAATATACAATTGATATTCGCTCTCTATTATCTTATTTCACAATGAGGATTAGAAATATAGTTCTAAAATTTGTTGGTTTGAGTTTTTTCTTTGTGAATTTAAGTGATAAATGGTTAGATTCATTAGACTTTTAAAATAAATAGATTGGTACAAATCCAAACAACTGACCTTTTGTCATTTTCATGCAAAATGGCTACGTCAAGGCTCTTATACGAGGATTTCAAACTCAACTCAAAATCGACATAAAATTAATTTGTTTTAATTTTGTCTTAGTAGATGTCGGTGATAAATATACAAATTTGTTGGACTTATAAAGTAAATGAATTGACAAAAATATAGCAAAATACGATACGAGTCTGTAAACGACTTTAAACGATGAACCATTTCAACGAACCTTCACTTTTTGGGGCCCAAAAAAGGCCCTACTTTTTCGGCCCACATGTAAGCATATTAAAGAATGAACGTTGGAAATACTGACTGGTAATATAAACAACTACGTCATGGACTCCGTAAGAGGGTGGTTGAAAGTCAAGTATGAATCACAGACTTCAGGCTTGCTTGTTTTGACTAATAAAATGACCTTGTCTGTTTTTGGTTCTAGACTTCTCTCTCTCTCACCCCTTCCCCCAACCTCCCTGCTCTCTCTTCATACAGACCTGTGAACAACAACAGTTCAACACCTGATTAGAGAGAGAGAGATGGCTGAAGGTGAAGGTGGTGGAGATTCTATAACCCTTGAAAATACACCATCATGGGCGGTGGCAACTGTTTGCTTCTGTTTGATAGCAGTTTCCATACTCATTGAACATGGCCTTCATCTCTTAGCTATGGTACATATGCAACTCTGCATTGCATTTGTGTATGTATATATCTATATATATATAGATATATATTTGCAGTACAGGCTATAGAATATATGCAATTCATTCGTTAATTTGTTTATTGGTTACTGTTTTAACTTTGATACAGTACTTCAACAAGAGGAGGAGGAAATATCTCATTCAAGCTCTTGACAAGATTAAAACAGGTGAGATTGTCAACAAAGTATTCTCTTGGCTATTTTGGTGGTGGTGCTGGTTTTTTTTTCTTTGTTTTTTTTTGTTGGGGGGGGGGGGGGGTGCACATTTCAATGGGTACTTGGGCTCTAGTAAGAAGTAGTAGCAGAAGATAACTCTCTCTCTCTCTCTCTCTGTAACTCGGTCTGAATTGTTTATGTAGAGTTGATGTTATTGGGCTTCATCTCTTTGTTGCTGACTGTGTGTCAAAAGCGGATTGCAAGCATCTGTATCCCAAAGAGCTTTGGCGAAAGTTTTCTTCCTTGCCAAAGCCTGAATAGTGATAATGAGGAGGAAGAATCCAAATGTCAAGAACAGGTATGAATGAACCTATATATATATATATATATATATATATATATATATATATGATATATGTGTGTAAGTATGTGTCAGTATGGATTGTTGATGGGTGATTTGAATACAGGGAAAAATTTCATTGCTGTCAAGAACAGCAGTGGAACAGCTTCAAATATTAATCTTTGCCCTGGCCTTTTCTCATGTTTTGTCTTGCTTCCTCACATTCAGCCTAGGAATGGCCAAGGTACTTTTCTTTACATTTCAAGGTTTACTATATATATATATTAGTTGTTTTTCGTTCCTGAAAGCACGAAATAATAAAAAAAATTGATAACAATAAACACATATGTATTCACACCTAAAATCAAATCACAAATATAAATGAGAGATAAAAAAATTTAAGTACTGATTGTAATAAGGGTGAACGGTATTGGTGGTGATGGACGGCAGTTGTGATGGTTGGAGGCGGTGATGGTTGTGGTGAGTGGTGATAATTGTGGTAGTGGTGGCAGGTGTGAGTGACAACGGTGATGGTGGTGATAAATTTTTGGGTGATGATGATGATAGTGGTAGCCGTGAGTGACGGTGGTGGTGGTGGACGGTGACAATGGTGGTTGTGGGCGACGATGGTGTGTTGGGTGGTGGCGAATGACGACAGAGGTAAGTGTGGTAGGGGTAAGTGACAGTGGATGGCTGCAGTGGTGGGCGATGTCAGGTGGTGGTGGTGGTAGGTGTGGTAAGAGTAGGTGACAGTGATTGGTGGCTATGATGGGCGACGATAAGTGGTGGTGGATTGTGGTAATGGGTGACGATGGACAATAATGGTAGTGGTGAGTGCTGACGATGGGCGATAGTGGTAGTGAGATGATTGTGATAATGGTAATAAATATAAGAATAAATGATGATAGTGGTAAGTGGTGTGGGCGACAGTGGTGGTAACGACAACAACAATGGTGGCAATGGTAGTGATGGTATACGTAGTGGTGAAGCGATTTCAAACACTATGTTTTTTTAAAGTACTTATAAGAAAAAATTCTTAAAAATACTTTTAAAAAGTTACTCAAAACATATCTTTATGGGCATATTTTTTCTATTAAATTTGAGATTTTAATATTAACCGTCAGATTAATTTTAAAATAAAATTTAAAGAGATCTCAACGGCTAATAACAAAAGTTATTTTATTTATCTTTTAAAATTGGAATTGTATTATATTTTATTATATAAATATATTTTGGAGGGTGTTAATTTACACTATGTTATTGTGTAGTTACAAAATGACATGTGGAAGTATTTATATTATTTTATTTTTTTGTTGTCACGAGTGATTCCTATTGTAACTCAAAACAAATACATACTCTCTTGGGATCAGGTCATGAAAGACTTATTCATCATAAATATTTTAGTTTTTGGCTTAGATGACATGTCTTTTATTGAACCAAATAGAAGATTAGTTGAGATACATATAAATTAATTTAGACATCTTTGACCATTGAAAAAATAAAAAATAAAACAAAGGCCTACGACTTCCATTGATGTTTTAGTATGGTAGGAAAAAAATAACTTTGACCAACATAGCGTGATACTAATTTCTGTCTGTTTAAGCCACTGTTATTAGAACTGGATCGGATCGGTCGGTCGGTCGGACCAGTTCAACTGTGAACCGGGACCCTAATCGGTCCGATTCCTTAGTTGAACCGTTTGAACCGGTTAAAAACCGAAAAATCGGCCGATTTTTAACAAAAATCGATTTTTAAAAATTAAATTATATAAATAAATTTTTTTGCCCTAAATCAGTAAATAGTTGATTTTTTTTAACCTTATTCTTGGAAAAATTATAAATGACACCCCTTCTTTTTCTTTATAATTTACTTAAACCTCTTTATTTTGTTTTAAAATACAATAACCCCACTTTGTTACTTAATTTCATTAATTTTATGGCAAATTTTATGTATTTTATATTTTTTAGCTAAATTATTAAGTTTTATAATTATTATATATTTTTTTTATTATATGATCGGTCCGACCAGTTGACCCAATAATTAAACCAATAAATCATTGACCCGATTCCCTTACCAGTTCGATGACCAATCTGATTATGATAACATTAGTTTCGGCCCTCTTTCTTGTTGGGTGGTGGGTGAGGGTGTCCAAGGGAGGTCAGCTGATTTGTCCAAGTTTGACTTTTCCAAGAAATTCAAACCAATAGAAGTCTCAAAGAGGGGCATAAATTATAAAGGGGGCCTTTTTAAATAATGTGTCAATTTGGGGAAGTTTCTGACTTGTTTGACTATGCAATCACCCACTGTTGTGAATTTTTCAGGTGAGAAGATGGGGATTTTGGGAGGCAGAAACAAGAACGCTGGACTATCAGTTTTCAAATGGTAAGTTTCCAAGAAAGAGACATGCTTATGGCAATTAGGCCAGTTAATGAAGTGAATTTTAATTTCAATCCGAATTTATTTAATTGGATATGAATTAATATTTTAATTTGTTTATTTGAGTTCCATTCGAATTTGATTAAATTTCTTTAAACAGATTTAAATTTAGATACATATAAATCTTATTCGGTGTATTTATAAATTTAATTGAGAAAAAATTATTGCATATACATACATACATACATACATAGATTATTAATGAAATTGACATGAAATTAAATAGAAATTATTGAATAGAATGATTGATTGATTAAATTAACTTGAAAGTTAACTTAAATTTGGTAAAATTAATAATCTTTTATGAAAGTTTGTTAGGATTCAGATTTTTAGATCAAATTGGATATCCGATTATTAACAGATGCGGATATAGATTAAGATTTTGAAATCTATAAGGTAAACGGATTGGGTTTGAAATTCTAGATCCAATCCGTTGATAGCCCTAATGACAATGAGTGGTGTTGTGTTTTTAAACTGTGTAAATCATATTGTGTTAATTCTCTCAAGTTACAACTGATCCATTTATAATTGTATATAGTCACACTAGTATCATATATTAACCATGTTTAGTCGGATTCTTGTCGTATTTAGTTAGATTCCTCTCTATCACTTTATTTGATGGGTCTATCGTGTTCATCGTTTGCCACCTAAACTAGTTAAAACTGAACTCAAACAAGCTATGAAGACATTCTCCAGAAAGCACAAAAAAAATTTGAAGACATTACTAAATAGTTAATTAACAAACAAAAAGAGCTTAGTTTATTTGGTAATTTAACAATGCTTATATAGTACTAGAAAATACAAATGTTTCTTTGTTCTTTTGGTACTTGCCAATGCCATTACCTTGGGATCTATAGAAAACAAAGATAGCTATAAATCCCATGAAAAAAATCCATAGCATTCTTCCTTATACTTGTTACTAATTCTATATAACAAATTATGCAGATCCAAGGAGGTTTCAGTTCATCCATCAAACATCATTCGGACGGCGACACCTGAAATTTTGGAGTGATCACCGGTTTCTTCGTTTGCCAGTTAGTATTTTTGTAGATAACCTTTTTTTTTTTGAATCAGCTACTGGTTTTGTTTGTCATTTATGAGAACCATTAGCAAAATTATAAGGAATTCGAACAACTACCCGCAACCAATCCATCAAATAAGTGAAAACTTCATCAAACTGTGAAACGTTACCCTACTAAAATACTTGTTATTACCACATTTTTTGCAGGCTTGTTTTCTTCGACAGTTCTATGGTTCTGTTTCAAGAGTAGACTATTTAACTCTTCGACATGGATTCATCATGGTATTTAATCAGTACTGAAGGAAAGTACTCGTTTTTTTCTTGGTTTAATTTCGATGTTTTTAATTGTTCTTGCGTTTCGTTTCATCTATATAGGCGCATTTTGCAGAAGGAAGCGTTTTCGACTTCCAAAAGTATATTAGAAGAGCTCTGGAAAAAGATTTCGGAGTAGTCATGGGAATAAGGTAATGTATCTGTTTGAAAAAATGGCATGAAATCATCAATAATTCTATAAGCAGAACCCGAAAATAATTCCTTTTATTGGTATCTTTCTTTTTTGCAGCCTCTGGATATGGATTTTCTCTGTACTTTTCATATTCTTCAATGCATATGGTAATGCTTACCCTCTTTCTATTTTTCATTAAAGCACAAACTCAATGTGTTAAACTCTCTAATTCTGATCAATAAGCTCATTTTCTTTCTCTTGCTGCAGAGTTTTACAGCTACTTCTGGCTTCCCCTTATTCCATTGCTGGTAAGCTAATATAATTGAACTAATGTCAAATGTTTTGACGCAGCGGAATAAAGAAACACAAAGAACACTACGATTATAAGTGTATAGAACACACACACTTCACAAAAAAAAGAACAAGAGAATATTTCTAAAAATGTATATTATTCATTGAATTATTCGTGTTACATAAGGGAATATGAACAGCCCAAAACTGAAGGAGCTATTGGCAAAGCAATGAGTCTTGATCGTTGGCTCGATCAGGATCAAACACCACTAATATTCTCAATCAATCTTGAGTCTGACTCCTTCGACTTGCGTCAGTCTTCCTATTCTGAGTAATCAGTTGTCACCTATTTTACATCATATTTGGTCTGTCAGAATTGAAATAAAAGAGACTATATGCTCGTTGTGAGGCGGGGTTTATTATGACCTTGACTCTTAATGATGAGAATATTATTACCCGAGAAATTGAAAAAAAGAGCAACTAAATTAGCATATTTCTTGTTTATCAATATTGAAGTATTTTACAAAAAAAGGCGTTCAAATGAACGACTACCAAGTGTTTTTCTTTGTGTTACAGATGCTACTGGTGGTTGGGACAAAGCTACAAAGTATCATTACCAAAATGTGCTTAGATAGCAATGATAAATTTCATGTTGTTAGAGGAACTCTGCTTGTTAGGCCAAGTGACCACTTCTTCTGGTTTGGCCAACCGAAATTGCTTCTCCACCTTATGCACTTCATTTTATTTCAGGTAATTACTCTCAATCTTCTCCTTTTTTGGGTCTAATTAGCCTCCAGAAGCATCGCTTCCTAAACAAATGAAAGATTGTTTTTTTTTATATTCGAGTATTTCTTGTACTGTATTGTGCGTACAAATTTTGTATCAGCAAAATCAAATTTCATCGACAGAAACGGAGTGTTTCATGCTATGTTTCTTATGCTCAATAACATCTTTTTTGTGCATTGCAGAACTCATTTCAACTGGCGTTCTTTACATGGACTTGGGTAAGCATCTAGAAGCAACCATGATCTAATTTTAGCATTGAAGACCGATCTCTAACCGTGGTTTTATGAGCAGTACAAATTCGGGTTTCGATCTTGTTTCCACCGAAAAACTGAAGATATTGTAATCAAGCTCGCTTTGGGTCTGTTGGTTCACTTCCTTTGTGGCTATGTGACACTACCCCTATATGCCTTGGTCACACAGGTACACAAAACTACTAAGTAGTTTAAATTACAGAAATTGACTATGTAAATCTCTCCATACCTCACTAAAAGAAAAAATTACCTTTATTAGCGACAACTTTCAGCAATGATAGACAAAAACCGTTGCTAAATGTGCATTATCTGTAAGAAAACTACCCTTTTGCCAAAGAAGCGACATATTTCGTCGCTAGAATTGGTCGCAAAAAGTATGCCATTGGAATTTTTGGCACCAATTCAGGCCTTCTTTGGAAACGAATTGTTGTTGCTGAAGCAGAAATATTTTAAAAATAAATTATGGATTAGGTACGACAGTGTTTTGTTGTGGATATAGGTATTGAAATCATGGTCTAAAGTTGTGGTATCGATCATTGACGAGTCTAAAATGGTGCTATATCCCCCAATATTACATATGAGTTCTCTTTTTAAATTTTTGGGAATTTTGATTATCTCCTACTATTTTTAACAGATGGGTACATCAATGAGAAATACTGTTTTCCCTGAGGCAGTAGTTACTAGTCTTAGAAGATGGCGAGCCAAAGCGAAGAAAAACGTGGCTCGAAGGAACGCCTATTCAATGCATTCCTCCCTAGATGCTTCACTGACCACTTCACCATCTTTTAGTACCCTTGGTGCTTCATTATCTATTGACTTCGATGACAGTTTTCCCGAAGAATTTGCTCCTGTTGAACTGGGGAATGAAGACAGTGATGAAGGAAGACGACGACAAGAGCAGCATCACAAGTTGGGGTCTTTTAAGGGTTTCGATTTGAGTAGTATGCAGTGATGATTTTTTTTTTTTTTGATGAAATTGAGAAAGAACAATAGTTAATGAGCTAAAGAAGCTGTGGATTGTTTTGTTAAGGAGGAGTAGTTGGGGAACTTAGATAGAGCATGTCTATTCATCATAATCATTCATTCATCTTTTTAACTAGTTTTTTTAGAGTTAAAAAGCTCTTGATTCTAGATATTAGAAAATAATTTAATTCTTAAATATGACTGATTGATATTTGATTCGAACAATGTATTTATAATGAATCGAATTCTCAAGTAGTAGTAGGCTAGTCGATTACCTTGATTATACATGTTTTTTTAGAATTGTGATTGTTTCATAAACTCAGAATTACACGTGGTCGAAACAATTCTCGTTTAAAAAAGATTAGTACTTACAAAATAAATGGAAATTCCAACTTGATATTCATGAGATCATCATGACCATTAGTCAACGGCCCATGATGTTATTATCTCCATCGGGCCAAGATGATTACCGGTCAACGATCAAGGTTCAATGGAATTAAATCAATTGATTGAGACAATTCTTGTTTGAAAAAGATTAGTACTTACTAGATGGAATTCCAACTTAATGTTCATGAATCGTCATGACCATCGGCCAAGGACCCATGTGTTATTGTCCCCATTGGGCCCTGATGATAACCAGTCAATGACCCGGGATTGAGCCAATTGATTAAGACAATTTTTATTTGAAAAAGATTAGTAGTAGATAAAATTCCAACTTGATGCGCATGGATCATCATGACCATCAGTCAATGGCCCATGGTGTTATTGTCACCATTGGGTCATGGTTAGTGTCCCCATCGAGCCAAGATGATCACCAATCAACCGCCCAAGTTCAATGGCATTGTGCCAGCTGATTGAGACAATTCTCGTTTGAAAAATATTAGTACTTACAAGGTAGATGGAATTCCAACTTGACGTCCATGGAATCATCATGACAATCAGTCAATGGCCCACAGTGTTATTGTCCCTATGGGGCCATGGTTAGCGTCCCCTTCCGCCCAAGATGATCACCAGTCAATGGCCCGGGTATGACGGTTTTGGGCCAGCTTCATTTTATTTTGTAGGGCAATGGCGAGCTGATTGGTTCTAGGCCTGGGTTGGGCGATTGGGCAAACCAATGGTCCAAAGGCCTGCCTGGCTAATGGGCCCATCCGCAGGCTGAAATTGAAAGACTATTTAGAAAGTAGGATTGTTAATGCATTGTATCACCCCGTCTAAATTATATTGTATCAAAATTTATTTATCTCACACCTAAATGACATATAATCAAATTCGTGTCGTGTTGTACATAAACTTGTAGATCAATGTCGTGTTCTTCTCTACATCATTTATTAAAATAATAATATAATTATTACCTATTCCAACAAAATCATCCGTCATAACAATATTGACAATTGACGAATAAGGAGTATTTTCAAGATACCCATATCTATACTATGGATTCGTATGTATAACACCGAATCCATTTGATTTCTAAAAGATATTATCAATCCTTAACTATTCAAGAAATCTTTTTTATCAATGGATGTGCAATTTTTTTTTCCATCTTTACAGCCTTAGTTCCATAAGAGCAAGGCAGAAAGTGTGTATAAACAACCCCCATGGGTGGTCTATTGGTCAAACATAGCCTCTTACATATCACCTTTGTTTCTCATGAGGTGTATTTATAAATTAGCTCGAATTACGATGATCGATTCAAAACTTAAAAGAATAATTGATGCAAACCTGAACACTTAATATTTAGCCAATTTCTTATTCATTCTATTTATTTAATAGGTCTAATAGGTTCATCTATTTAATTCTCAAACACTACTAATCTAAGTCCAAACCCCCTAATTCACGAATTACCAAGCCTCTGAGAAACTGTTGGCTATGCTGCTGTTGAAGTGACTTGTCATAGTCTTTAAGACAAGAGAAATTCAACATGAAGACTGTTAATTGCACATTTCATGGAAGCAACTGGTTGCAGCAATTCGTCACTCCTGACGTTTCCCCTATGGGTCCACTGTAGTATTTTCCAACTTTGTTTTTTTGTATGACATAGATGTTATTAAAACATAAATTTAAAGTTACAGTTAAGTTTAGTCGATGTATCAAACCTTATATATATATAATTTATCCAAAAAAGATTTTTTTATGAACAAAAATTACGTTTTTAACATGCATGCATCGGATAATCCAAAGTTCTCTTTTGGGAACTAAACTTGAGATCTAAAAGTAAGATTTTCTTTTTTTAAAAAATATGGGTGTAACACGAGAACTTCTCAAGAGTTTACTTATTATAGTATTACTCTCGTCAAAGCACGTTTAACTGCAGAATTTTGATGAGATCCGATGCATTAGTGCTGATAATCACACCCAAGTAAGATTTTTTAAAATCTATCTTTCGGAACTATTTTGACCAGCTCAAAGCAATATGTATTAAGAATGTTTGAGAACATCAAATCTTATTTGATTGATGTTTTTTCGAGAGCAATTACATCAAAGGAAGAGGTGAGCTTATTCATAGGATGAGAATCAAACCCACAAGACAAATACTGGAGAAAACATTCTGTATCACGAGTTACTCTCATCTCACATAATTAAAATAATTGAAACATAAACTCCACAAACATCTTTAGATTGTTTCACTTTAAGAAATTAAAAAAAAAAAAAACAGTGGTGCTTGTAAAATTCTGGAATTCTCTGATGCTTTACTTAAACATTGGCAGACACCACCGACGTTTTTCCTGACAGAAAGTTAAATGCCGCACTATTTGTTCAAGTGGTCAGATTTTAGTGGCTTGATGCCCTATAGCGAATATGAAAAGTAAAAAAGATGGAAAACACGAAAAATATATTTTTTATCCTTCAATAATAAAATATAAAAAATATATATTTTTCTTCAATTGTATTTAGTTGGATGGATAAGGGTGATAATTGAATCGAGTCGTGTCGTGTCAGATTCGTGTTGAGTCATTATGAGTTTGTGTCAAATATTAATTAAATTTAACTTAACTCATTTAACTAATTATGTTGTGCTGAGTTGCAAGCTGACTTATTTATTTTCGTATTGTTCGAGTTGTGTCATCGTGTTGAGTCGAAAATTTTCACCCTCAGTTAAGATAAAAAAATATTTTTTTTTTAAATTTTTTAAATTTTTTTAAAATATATATATATATATTTTACTATTGTATTTTTATATGAAATTAATGTATATATAAAATATATAGATAAATAAGATACATTTCAACACAAATAATTAACTTTCTATCAACTTTTTTTCCGATTTTGGAGGGATTGATTTTGCTGAGTTAGAAGGAAAGTTAATACATCCACTTTTTCATCCTTTCTACTTTCCTTCCTTATCAAACATGATATTTTATTTATCCCTCAAACTTTTCATCTTTTCAACTTTTATCCTCTAATTTTTTCATTGTACCAAACGGAGCACGAAAAAGAATTCTGGCGTTTATAAACGCTAGTATTGAACAGTTGGAGTCTTTGCTTTCATTTTGGGAGCATATCATTGTAGAAATTTTTGTGGTGTTAATACATAAATGTCAGCAATTAACTACCACATTTTCTATATTTCTGTAGTGTTTCATGCGAAAAGTTGCAAATCAAATCATGATTAATTGTACACAAGTGGGAAATTTTCGAAAAATGTTTTCAATTTTTCTTTGGAAATCCAAGACTCATCTATTTCTTGGTCATGGTATTTTCAGCAGACAATTTGTCGGACTTAAATGAGATTCAAACGGTATTTAGGTGGAAAAGAGAGAATTAATGTGTAACCTTTTGACTAAAATCTTAACCATTTTGTTTTCATTAAAAAGGTTTGGTGAAATACCTTAAGGTGGGTGGGTCCAAAGCTCTAACGTTATGCAATTCAGACACGAAATTGCTGCAACTTTATACTCTCCCTCTTGGTTTCTTCCTCTCACTTTCTCAGCCACAGCCTTTTATAAAATTTTCCAAAATGGAATATTGGAGGTGGCTTAAAGTACAGCGACGAATAAATATTCGTCCGTTCAAATAATATGTTATAAATTCGAGATTAAAAATTAGTCTTTTTGAAATAGAGGTAAGACTTTTTTGTCATTGATTTCTTTTAAACTTTGTTGTAATCAAGAGTCTTGTATATCAGGTGCATGCCTTCGTTTTATTGTACCGACCTAGCGTGAGTCTCGTCTCATGTGATGTAAGATTATTTTAAAAAAAAAAATCGAAGTTCAAATATAACTTTTAAAGACAAATCTTGAACCTGCAAAATTGTCAAGATTCTAAGATTTATTTATGTTAGAGAGATGAAAGATGAGAGGGAAAAGTAAATGTTAAGAGTGAAGTGAACAGAATCAGCAATATTATGTTTTTTATTTAAGTGAAGCGACATAATTTCAATCATTGAATATTAATTAAATTTATTTATTTAATAATAAAAATTATGTCACATCACTTAAGATAAAAAACTTGATATTGTTAGAACTGAATTGATGATAGAGAGAGAATGATTGAAGGTTATGACACGAAAAAGTGGGCAGTGAGGAGATTGAGTTGGAGTGGATAACTGCTATGGATTAGTGGAGGAATTTAAAAACAATCCAGATGTAAGAAGTTGATTTGGGAAAGCATGTTTGTTGATTTAAAAAAAATCAAAATTCTTTAAAAAAAAAAAAAAGAAAACAGGAAGATAACATAACGTCGCTATCGAATTTATTTATTTTATATTAGATAGATAAGATTGTAAATTTCAAAAGTAGTTCAAGTGGGAACAGAAATAAATTATAAATTCAAATATCTTGAGTTTGAAACTTGACAACTCATTTGAGTTAGATTACGATAAATTTATTCTTTATAAATACCTTAGTTTCGATGAGGATAATCTCTTTTTCACCAGACTAAAAAACAGATTAGTCAAAATGTGCGTAAGCTCCCTAACTGTTGAACCAAAAACAAAAATATGATTGTGAAGCTTCTATGTGTGTTTAAAAATGACTCGTTCTATAATGCTTCCAAATAGACTTGACTAACCCACCCCTTGTAATTCAAATTTCAAAGTAAACTGTCATATATAATGTCTTTGTAATTACAGTAATTTAACAAACATTTACAA